ATCTCAGATATCTTCATAATAGAATTACATTTTTTTAGAATTAATATAATTGTTCAAATTATAAATTCAATTAAAAAATCATAAAATATTAAATCTGAGTAAAAAAACCTATTTATTTATTTTAAAACATTGAATTAAATTTTACTAGTCACAATATTATCTCTTTCGAATCTTCATTTTACTAAAACCTTCTCTTAAATTGAAGTTTGAGGCTCGAGCATGCGACATATGTCGCTTGGCCGAATTCGCTTAACTCACTTGTTGCGGAAAAATGAGTGTTGCACAATCACAAGTCCGCTGCCAACAAAATCACAAGTCCGCTGCCAACAAAAGTGCGATTGATCAACCAGAGATGTGCTAATATAATGCAGGACAAGTAACGTGGTAAGAATGAGAATTGAAATAGAAGATGAAAACGGCAACGAACACCGTGAACATCTCTATTTACAACTTAATTTCAATATATCTTTTACAAAATTACAATTTAAATTAGTTGAATTCAAACCACATATGCTTTAATGAACACTGCACGGTACTCAAAAGATCTCTCTATGTTCTATATGATCAATTTTACAAATGGTGACAGACAAACAAGTAAAATAACGTTCTATCACTCTCTTCAAACATCCAAGTTTTCCACCATCAAAATTTCAGCTACACAAGTTTCTCTGCAAAAAAAACAGGACAGACTTCAAACGAATCGCCTCGTGATGTTCCGAGTAGTGGCTCGGTAGGTACGGACGAGCAAACCAACTCCTACACCAATACCGACACAAACACCGAGCCCTATACCAACACCAACTCTCACACCTGCATTGAACCAGGAGAGTTCACCATCTTCACCGTCTAAATATTCTCTCCTCTTCCAGTACATGTTGCTGTAATCGTCGCTGTTGTCAATGTCCTGTTTGTATCTCCCATATTCTGTTGCCTACAACACAAGTAAATGGACATTTCATTTCAGGACAACCCCATGATCCATTATCCGATAATATTATTACATAAATGTCTGGAGCAATGGAAACTTAAGGCTAGCAGATATTGTTTCCTTGGACTTCTCAAAAGTTTTTAAAACGTCTGCTAGGAGAGAGGTTTCCACCTTTATAAATGTTTCGTTCTCCTCCCCAACCGATGTGGGGCCTCACAATCCACCCTCTTCAAAGGGCACGCTGAAACTCATTTCCCTCACCAATCAATGTGAGATCTCACAATCCACCTCTCTTCAAGACCCAGCATCCTCGTTAGCACTCGTTCCTCTCTACCATCGATGTGGGATCTCCTTTCGAGTCCCAGTGTTCTCGATGGCATACCCTCCAGTGTCTGGGTCTGAAACCATTCGTAACAGTTCAAGCTCACCGCTAGCAAATATTGTCATTTTTGGACTTTCCCTTCAAAAGTCGTCAGCTAGGGAGAGGTTTCCACACCCTTAAAGAATGTTTCGGTCTCCTCCCCAACTAAGGTAGAATCTCACAAATTTGAACATTCAAATCCAGAGTAGCAGAATATCACGATTGATCAAAAAAGCTACTAACTAAGTCACTGCAAGAGAATCAAAGTTAAATTTACCTTTTCAACTATTAGCAGTATAATATCATCGAGCATTTGATCTAATTATAGTATATTTGTATGTGGTTTATCTACAGATAGATCCAGAACAAAGATGAACACATGCATATTTTCTGCAAAAACTCACAGGGTATAGAAATCTCAAGAAGCCAACCTCAGAGTATCAGTGATGTACCTGTAAATCATATTCTGGAAATTGATCTTCATTAGAATCAGGCGTCCCAGACTCCGGAACGGCGTCCAACATGGATTTCCAACTCTGCTTCTTTCGGGAGCTTAGCTGCAAAGTTTTGGTCAAGATGATAGGACTTCCAGAGACGCTACCAGCTATATAAACGTCGATCATCGGGGACGGGGTTTCACCTCCAATCATATGCTGCTTTCCCTTCAAGAGCCCGCCACCCAACTTTGACTTACAACTCATGATGCTCCACCTCTTTGCATTGCTTTTGGATTCACCTAATAAACCATTGGAATCCAACATCTCCAAAACCCCAGAAAGAATCAAATCTTCCTTATCATATACCTCAAATTTTACACTTCCACTAAACCTTATATGGTCAGTAGTCACAAAAGTAGCTTCTTCTGATTCCTTATCAGCTCTATCTCTCCTCAGAGAGGAAGAGACTCCCTCCGAGCGACTACTACTCCTAACGCCATTGACTTCAAAAAGGGTGTCCGGGATGAGAGGGATATGGTTGAGCGTGAGGAACTCGGGCGTCAAGCTGTCTACTTGGAAATTACTGATCCTAACATAGAACACTCTCAAATCAAGCCAAGGCAATGAGTAAGCTTTAACACGAGGCTGGCGATGCGCGAATCTTGCAAGCTGAAGTTCATCATCCATCGCTTCGACTTTTGGATCAGAAGGTCAATCTAGGTTGTCTCACAACTCAATCCTGAAACATATATATTGCTAAGATCATCAAAATAAGGAACAGATTGATCTGTTCTTTCAAGTAAAGTTTCAAAATCTCAAACGATCAAAACCATACGCATTCATCCAAAACAGACCACAGTAATGTCAGGAAATCAAGTTCATAAATAGTTGTAAATTCCAGGAATAGAAATCCTAAAAATAAGGGGGAAAACGAAGTCAAGATCAAAACTGAAAGAAGTTCCAATTCAGGCAAGTTCACATCAATGGACATAACCAACTCCACACCAATTGAATAACATCCAAGTATCCAACCGAACCGTATGAGTAGCATACTTCTAACCTGGGGAAGTTAATTCAAGACATAAATACACCTAACTGAAGAGAGATAAACTAAGAAACTAAAGAGAAAATCCTCAGAATCGGACATTCAGAAGCCATTAGCAGAAAAAAGATACACCCAACCATGAATTTACACCTAGAAAAGTCACAAATCCAAAGAGTTTCAATGGAAATTAAATTGAACAAACGTCTAAAATCAAAATTTCTGACCTAAATGTTTCCTCCAAGAATCTGCCAGCCTCGAAGAAATCGAACAAATCCACATCACGCGAGCCAACCGCCGGCCAAGAAACCCGTGATAATCTGTATTGCTTCAGAATTACATAGAAAAATAGACTCACGCTAAATCCAGCATTCAAAATCTCTATTTATCGGTATCCCTCTCCACTCGAAAGTCTAGTTCGAAGAGTGTTCTCGAATCGATTTCAAGCAACACAATCAAAGCGTTTGATTCCGAACCAAGCGCGATCGGCAAGTACCCTCCACACCAAACAAATAGGAAAATCTCTAGCTGAGAAACGATTACCAATCCAATTTGAAACGAGGAATTGATATCCGATCAGTATCCAGAAGTTGCGTCGGAAATGAGAACAGAAACCACGAGATTATCCGAAGAAAATGATGGAAACTTACCAGAGAAGTAAAATCTGAAGAAAAGTAGATGGGCGTAGAAAGGAAAAGACCGATCTTATCCATTAGCAATGAGCAAGAAATGGATTTGGGGCAAGCCATAGAGCGTTGAAGCTGCGTAGAGCTGTCCCATTTTGGATTAATGGGACCTAGGAACTCGGAGGGAGATTGAGGGAGAAACCTTTATAAATTCCACTAATTTATTTATTTATTTATTTATTTATTTATTTATTGTTGTTTTTTCTTCCATTTAAAAATTATATTAATCAAATTTTTATTTTTATAATTTAGACCAACCCATTAATAATTTACTACCGTGTATCAGCTCTGTTTTATAACTAACACGAGTGAATCATCACCGATTAATAATTTATATTAAAAATAGAATTAATAATTTATATTAAAAAATAAAAGCTTATATTAAAAAAGATTGTTTGAGGGCTAAATCACGTGTGGGCTCCACATTCAATCTCTTCCCTACTGAGCAGTTAGCTCGGTTTAGGGCTAAACCATGAATGGGCTCCACATTCAATCTCTTCCCTCGATGTTGAGTAGTTAGCTTGTTTTAGGGCTAAATCACGAGTGGGCTCCACATCCAATCTCTTCCCTCGATGTTGAGTAGTTAGTTGCTTTAGGGCTAAATCACGAGTGGGCTCTACATTCAATCTCTTCCCTCGATGCTGAGTAGTCAGCTCGGTTTAGGGCTAAATCATGAGTGGGCTTTACATTCAATCTCTTCTCTCGATGTTGAGTAGTTAGCTTGTTTTAGGGCTAAATCACGAGTGGGCTCCACATCCAATCTCTTCCCTCGATGTTGAGTAGTTAGTTGCTTTAGGGCTAAATCACGAGTGGGCTCTACATTCAATCTCTTCCCTCGATGCTGAGTAGTCAGCTCGGTTTAGGGCTAAATCATGAGTGGGCTTTACATTCAATCTCTTCTCTCGATGTTGAGTAGTTAGCTTGTTTTAGGGCTAAATCACGAGTGGGCTCCACATCCAATCTCTTCCCTCGATGTTGAGTAGTTAGTTGCTTTAGGGCTAAATCACGAGTGGGCTCCACATCCAATCTCTTCCCTCGATGTTGAGTAGTTAGTTGCTTTAGGGCTAAATCACGAGTGGGCTCTACATTCAATCTCTTCCCTCGATGCTGAGTAGTTAGCTCGGTTTAGGGCTAAAACATTAGTGGGCTCTACATTCAATCTCTTCCCTCGATGCTGCATAGTTAGCTCGGCTAGATAAAATTATTTGAAGTGTCGAATAACCCAAGCCACCTTTTCTTAAGTTTTGTTGGATGACACATATAAACTAAATTAGCGTATGGGTGATTCCAAGAACAGAACGAGAACGAGAACACCCTTAAAGCCTTGAGAGTAAGCCCGAAAAGAAAGTCCAAATAAGACAATATCAACTAATGATGAGCTTAGGCCGTTACAACATAGCGAAGTGATTCCAATAGCAGAACGAGAATGAATACCATGACTAATGGCGAACACTTGTTTACCACATAGACTATTAGAGTATCTAATCTCGTTCGTCCCTTAAATAACCTAGAAAGAAAAATAAGCCCGTGCTAGTGAGTATCGTGATACCATCCCGAGCCCGAATCGCATAGCGTCAAATTTTTTCAATCTACAATGGATAGATACATCAATCACAAATGGTATCAACAGTGATTTTTTGGCTAATTTTTCAAGAACAAAGATCAACAAATTAACAAAATCCAAAACCAATACTGAAAACCCCATCAAATCGATTGCTCCGTTAGCTACTTTTTCTGGGTTTGTTCTTCCTCCTTCCTCTGCTTCTCGAACCATCTCCTGATTTGGGTTCTTCCGATTCTTGTTGCTTCGAAGCTCCTTCCATGGAAATCGGCGGCTCATCTCCGGTGGTTTTACCCTTCTTCTGCAGCGGTTTATCCGCAACATCCGCCGCTGGCGGTGGTAGTAGTTTCTTGTCATCCGGTGGCTCATCGAGAACTTTACGAGGTCGGCCTCTCTTTCTGGGCTGTTCAGATTGACCACCGCCGTGGCCGCCGCCGTCATCGGGTAATTTGGAGGTGGAAGTTTCAGCTATGGCGACTGAAATCTGCTTGGTTTTCTGGGTTTTTTTCTTTCCCATCAAATAAACAGCAAAAAAAGGGGTAAGGGAAAGGTTGAAGAAGAAGAAGAGGAAGAACACCAGGAACAGGGGAAGGGAGGCGGATTGCGATTGCATTGAAGAGGCCCACAAAAGCAAAAGAGATGATTATGAGTTGAAATTGGAATTGAAAGGGGTATTAATGTCAAATTATTATAAACGACGAAGTGCATTTAAATCGCTATGAACGGTCATATGACGATGGTCGTCAAAAGAGTTGCTCGTTTTTTAAGGTTTTGCTACTAGAGACGGTCGCTAACAATGGTTGTAGAGTGTCACAATCACACTCTTGTTATAGTGGGAATTCGCACTTCACAAACAATATTAACGATGTTCAAGCCTCTCGAGTCTTGTGATGAAACAAATGTTTTAGAAAACGTGACTGAAATGCGTTGAAAACAATTTTAAAGAAAGTAATGTTATAACTAAAAGCGAATAGGCAATAACAACGACTTTGATATTATATATAGTGAGTGAGAAGAATTGACAATTAGTCTCACATGCTTTTATAGTACATTTTGGAGCATTTAGCCCTGACGAATGTAGATATGATTTTGGTGACTGGTCATACACTTCTTGACACAACATGAAATAGTAAATGGTTAGGTAAAATGGGGTTTGGAATGGGTATACGACCATAGACAACACGTCATAGACAAGCATGACCGAGACATTTGACATGCAGCCATAAGCAACGACCTTTTGGACAAATATGATTTTTTTTTCCCTAAAAATTGTTATTTTTTTTTTTTTTTTTTGTTTGCTGATATTAAAATGATTATTTTGAAAGAAAATTAAGTACCTAAAACGGCATTATTATATTCCTATGGATAAATAAAATAAATTAAAGTTGAATAAAACAAATTTTATAATAATGTTTTAATGTCTAAATTTGAATAAAACATATTTTAATTATTACCTAATTTTTCTAATCAATTATTTAGCAAAAATATAAACTCACATAGAAACCTAACACTCACCAACTATATATAACCTAATTTAAAAATTCACGAATTAAATTAACCAAACAAAACAACATAATTCTGAATTAAATATATTTAAATTTTGTACTTTATTTAAAAAACATTCTTCGTACTTTATTTATTTAATCTAAAAATTTTAAAAATTATTCGAGAACGTATAAAAATTTTAAAAANATTCAAATCCTCAATTTCAAAAAAAAAAAAAAAAAAAAAAAAAAAAAAAAAAAAAAAAAAAATCTATTTTATAAAACTTGGTAAGTTATTTATAAATACACTTAATTTAAATACAATTTCCAAATTCCAGACATTTTCTCAAAGCATGTTTAATGGATAAATAAATAAATAAATTTTAGTTTCATTTTCATTTTCAATATAATTTAGCTTCATTAAAACAAAATCAATCATTAATAAAATAGACAAAATAGACTTTTTTTATTTTTTCAAACCAAAATAATGAAATATCAAACAATTTTAATTACTTTTCATAAAAGTCTAAACTTTACCATTTGTAGTTTATCTTTTAGTCTTATCAATCAGAGTCAAATTGATTTGGTAAAAGAAAAGGTCAATTTGATTTTCATTTTCAAATTCTTTTATTAAAAAATTGATAATCAAGTTGCAAGCAATTGACCTTCATAATGCTCCAAAAGTATATAACATCAAATGTCATTCTAAAATAAATAAATAAATAACTTTATATATTATAAGTTAGATGATAAAGTAAAATGATTATTATAATATATAGTTTATAAACATATTATAAAATACATTAAGACCCATTGTTTAAATTGAAATCTAATTTCTAATTTTACTACCAAATATAGATTTGAAAGAGTGAGACAAAATATTTATATGGTCGGAATGAATCTCTCTAGTAAAAATAAAATTATTCCAAATTTAATCCAAATCTATGTTCGGGTCAATCTAATATCACAGATCTTGTAATTCTTATTTATTGGCAAAGAATCGAAGAAATGGATTCATCATTCAATTTGAATCACTTCAAGAACGAGAAAAAGAACTACCACCCCTTCCGGTATTTCGAGTTAAGACTAAAAAGAAAAAAGGAAAAGAATGTCATCTCTAAAATATAAAACAGATAGAGAGAAAAAGTTTTAAGGCAAAAGTTAGAACATAAAGCTCAAAGCAATCAAATGGTTTAGAGGGAAGCAAATTTTACCAGAGATACAAATTGCACTGCAGAATCCTCTTAGTATGGAGCAGGAACAAATTTTCATCCTAAAAGCGAGTTTTTTTGCAATAAGAGAAGGAAAACCATCATGGTCGTGACTGAATCTCCTCTCTAACTCGACGAACAAGCATCAGATTACGCGACGCGGGCAATCTCGACATAAACAACCTGATGCAAACTGAAAACTCTGGAAGAAGACGCATAACTCAATAAACGTTCCTAGATGCAGACTATAAGCAAATAAAGGATAACCATCAGGAGACGAGGTAGACGATAGTCAAGAAGCAATAACCCGAATCGATTTTCAAACATTCTTATGGATCTAAGAACCTAACTTAACAGGATAGATGTCAATGCAGTCTTAAGCATCTAACTTAACAGGATAGTTATCAATGCAGTCTTCCCATGGACTAGATTGAGATGGCCTCACATTCCTGAGAGCTTCCCACACTGCACTATTACATTTGAAGCCACTTCCAAAGGCAATCTGCCACACACGGTTGCCTTTATGCATCCTCCCTTTGGATTCTATGTAGGACAATTCATACCAAATCGAACTCGATGAAGTATTTCCAAATCGGTGAAGGGTCATACGAGAAGCCTCGACATGAAGAGGCAATAGCTGCAAATTCTTTTCCAGTTCATCGATCACAGCTCGCCCACCAGCGTGTATGCAGAAATGGTCGAATGCAAGCTTGAAATCAGGGATATATGGCTTCATACTTCCATTAAAGAACTTCTTTAACAACAGGGTTGCAAAGAACAAAAGTTGTTCACTAATTGGGAGCACAAGTGGACCCAGTGTGGTTATGTTTGTTTTCAAAGCTCCTCCAGCAATTGCCATCAAATCTTTGGACAGTGACACGCCGGTTTTACCGATGTCGTCCTGCTCCTGATAGACACATCGAAAAGCCTTATCATCAGCTCCGCGATGGGTCCTCACAACATGAATAAGCCTATACTTAGCTCGTCTTCTATCAGCAGACTTGTTGGACAGTAAAACAGCAGAACCACCGACTCGAAACAGGCAATTAGGAATTAACATAGACTTCTTATTCCCAAAATACCAATTCTGAGTAATGTTTTCAGTACTCACAACAACAGCTAAAGTATTCCTATGAACTTGCAACAAATCCTTAGCAAGATCAACAGCTATAACCCCAGCACTACAACCCATTCCACCTAAATTGAAGCTCCTGATATTACCCCTCAATTTATACTTATTAACAATCATAGCAGATAGAGAAGGCGTGGGGTTAAACAAGCTGCAATTCACAACGAGAATACCAATATCCTTAGGTTTAACACAGGTATTAGCAAACAGTTTGTCCAAAGCACCAAACATGACCTGTTCAGCCTCCTCTCTAGCCGCGGCCATGGACGGGCGAGGAGGAATGAAGTGCATAGCTTCAGGAACGTAAGTTTCCTCACCGAGTCCAGAGCGCTCCAAAATCTTGCGCTGGAACTCGAGGGAGGACTCATCAAAGTCCCCTGTAAGCCTAGAATGCTCCATGAATCGATGAAATGGAGCCTTAAGGTCATCAGCAGGGCGATAACAGGAATAATCAACAAGATAAACAGGACGAGGACGAGTCATAGTATAAACCGTCAATCCGAAAACCATGACGGCGGAGCAAATAATGACGCTAACCAAATTGTACTGGAGATGAATCCAAAGCTGACGAACATCATCGAGATTCATTTGCGAAGCCTCGATTAAGGTAACCGCAATTAAAGGAACAATACATAAGGTTAACAGATTAGAAATCAAGTAGTGGTACCCTAATTTGACGTACTTGAGATTAACGCTCTGAAGGAAATCGGGCAATCTTCTTGAATGTTGGATCCGAAGGGCACCAGTTCCGGAGCCACTGTTGACGACGGTGGGTGCAGGAGGGGGTGGGCCGCCTCGGTCCATAGCAGAGGGCGGAGGGTATTCCGGCGACTGGAATCACGGAGAGAAAAATCTGTGAAAATGAGAACGGAAATGGAAGAATCCGATGCAAAAGGAATTTGAGAGGGCGGAGAGAGAGAAATTAGGGAGAAATCGAGAGTGGAATTTTTTGAAGCACTGGTGGCTTTTTGACAGTTAAAAATACAACTGATAATTTATTTATTTATTATTTTTTTTTTCTGTAATTTCAAAAATATAATTTTATTTTTTATTTTATTTTTGTAATTTCCACGTATGGGAATGCGCGTAGCAATGCACGTGGACATGCCGGTGCTTTGACTCAGATTCCTATCTCTACAGCTAACAAATTTCACTTTATTTATAATTTTTTCTTTTTGTTTCCATTAATATTTCAATTTTGTGTTGAAAAATCCCATAGGACCTGATCACGTATGTCCTGTCTTGCTTGTCTGAGTCAGTTGACAGGGAGAATGTCATATCATGCTTGTTCGAACCATGTTGCTTATGGCCGCATGACAGATGTTCTAGTCTTGCTTGTTCGAATCGATCGACAGGGACGTCAACCAATTGAGTGGGGGAGAATATCACGGTCATGTTTGTCAAAGGCATGTTGTCCATGGTTGCATGCTGGTTCCAAATCTCTTTTTCATGCTTTCATCTTAGATAGGCCTTTACCATGTCATATCGAGTCAATATAGGGGTGTATGACTATTCACCAAAATCACGTCTACACCCGCCTAGGCAAAAATGCCTCAAAATATACTATAGGAGGATATGACTACTACTTGTCACAATCGTACTTTGATAGCAACGGACTTACGATTGTGCAACACTCACTTCACACCCATAGCGAAGTATGCTCGAGCCTCTAACTCCGGTTCAAGAAGAAAGTTTTAGAAAATAGGTGCAAAGAGATTTTGAAAGATAAAAATTGGTGTTATATGCGATGCAAGCAAAAAGACAACAACAACGGCTTACAGCATATATATAACTATCAGGTAGGGAGAAGTTGACACGTCTCTGCCTCTTATTTCAATTTTCGTTTATTTTCATGGTTGATATCAATTCTCGAGCTAGTTTTTTTTTCACTTTTAAAAAAAGATATTAAATTTTAATACATAATGTTATTTTTATTAGAAAAATGTAAATATTATAATAAATTTAATTATATTTCATAAACAAAAATACTATATAATAATATAATTTTAAAAATTTTAAAAATTATGATAAAATTTTAATTTCATATCTTAGTTTTGAAATATATATATATATATATAGCGAAGCGGGTGAGGTAAGGATTGGGTGGGATCGAGAGCGAGGACGACTATATCTAATTAATGAATAAAATATTGATAATTTTTAATATTTTATAATTTTATTTTACTCATTTTTTGAAATATTTATTTTAATATATTTTTTAAATAGTATTTTGATAACTTGTAATTATATTGATGTGTTACACAGCGTGACACTAACATGAGTTGAAATAAACGATAAATATGGTTAAAAAATCACAATTTTAAATTTCGCACGTAATTGATATTTTAATTTTAATTTTGATTTAAATGGATTTATTTTCCATATTATATATTTTATGTGTAAATTTGAAAATAGGGGTTAATAAAAATGTATTGTTTTTATTATCTTATATTCGTAATTACGTCAAATATTTAAATAAAATAAAAAAATAGATCTTAATTTGTCTTTTTCTGTGTTATTTGCAATGGGAGGTTTTGTTTTGTGTTTATAATAATAAAATAAAATAAAATAAATGATAGTCCCTTCTAGAAGGTTTCTTCATGGGCCAATTGAAGGCGACTCCTTTCATTGACCTTTTCTCCTCATTGAAACTTGTGGCAAACAATTTTTGGTATAAAATTGACTCATCCAATTTTGATTCTTTTCAATTTTTATAATTCAATCTTACCCGTTCACTCAATATCTACCTCCGAGTGTTCTTATAATATGAGAATTCGATCAATCTTGACCACTCGATCGAAATTATAGGGTTAGGCAGGTTGACTTTTTTTTTTTTATCGGGTCAACCTGACCAACTCAAAAATAAGGTTACAACTTGACCCATCTTATAAAAAACGTTTTGTTCCCTACGTTCTCTAAGGGATGTGGCATCTCACGATCCTACCCAACATCTGGCTATGATATTCTTTGTAAAGTCCACTGTTAACAAATGTTTATCTGTTTTGGTCCGTTATTTCCACGAGAAATGTTTTGTTTCTGTCTCCAATCGAGGTGATCTCGATTTTTAATTATTAGTGTAACATATTTCGTAAATGAGTACGATTTTGAAAATAATTAAAAAAAATAGAATAACCTAACTCAACTTAACTCGAAAATAGTTGCTAACCCAATTTGGACTGTTCCGAATAAAAATTTCAACTCAACCCAACTCATGTATGCTTTTATTGTCCCATGTCAGCATGTACATTCACACTCGAATAAAAAAATTAATGAATTTCTATTTTTTAAAAAAAGATTATTTATTAAAAAATATATTTTGGTAGTTTTTTTTTTTAATCCACCGGAATAAAAAAAAAATACATAAATGAACCGATAAAACATCCAAATGATAGAACTTTGCAGACAAGATGACTAAGAAATGCTTATAACAAAAAAAAACAAAAGTTACTGCATAAATCATAATAAAAATTTCATGATTAAGCGTGTGTGTTTTACTTTGAGCAATTCTATATGAGATGATCTCAGACATTTTATTGAGATAATGTGAACGAGGACAAAACATGTTAGAAGAACTCGTGTTGGTCTGTGTGAATAGTTTTTAGTCTTAAAAAGTAAGGGGTCGAGGGGTGGGTAGATAGCATGACCATGTCGGGATGTAGAAGAATATCGGGATCATCATATGCCAAATTCAGATCCCGAATCGTAGGCACGAGTCATTACATTAATGTAAAATATATATATATATATACATATATCAAATTATTTCCCATTAAGAGTCTAACAAATTTTGTAACAAACTTTTGGAAATTAAAATTTATCCCTCAATATCTAAATTTTTGTAAGGATAAATATGGTTTGTTTTATAAAAGATTTTAAAATTAAAATTTTAAATATTAGAATTTAAAACTTTTGGAAATTAAAATTTATCCCTCAACCCTAAATGTTATATAAAAATTTAAAACTAAAATCATTTAATATTAATTTAACAAACACCCCAACCAGTTATTTATTTATTTATTTATTTAAAACTAAAATCTTATCCATCATTAATTTATTTTGTATTAATTAATTTAGTCCAATTCACAACAATTATTTTAACACGTATGGTAAAAAAAATTAAAATTTTAACTTAGAGAAGGTAAATGTAATCACACTGAATCTGACAGATCAATTTGCACTACACACTACAAACTATATGGGTTAGGTTGGGTTAGATTCTTTTCGATTTGAGTTTGGTTGAATTTTTGGAAAACAAAAAAGGGTAGATTCGTAAATTAACATTTTTTTAGTCGGGTTAACTCGACCAACCTGAAAATAGGGTAACAATTCAACTCAACCTTATCCTATGTGAGATCCCACGTAGGTTGGAGAGGGAAACAAAGTATTCCTTATAAGGGTGTGGAAATCACTCCCTAACAGACGCGGTTTAAAAACTGTGAGATTGACGAATATACATAACAGACAAAAACGGACAATATATGTTAGCGGTGAATTTGAATTGTTACACCCTACTTTTAAGATTATTATGAATATTAAGAATATTTGTCATTTGTAATTGATATTAGTAATGCGTTGTGACTTGTGAATGTTTGATATTCGATATTATGAGATTTTAATTTTTAATATAACATCTATGCTCGGGTCACCAACCTAAGATTTCGAGTTGGTTCAAAAAAAATTTCCAACCTAGCTCATGTGGTCCTTAATTTCTTATGACGTGATGACCATGTTACCTGATAATAATAAATATTTTATTTTTAGAAAAATAAAATTTTAATTTTAAAAGCATTTTAGGTTGGGGAAAAAATTGTATAGGTAAGCATAGGGATAATATTAAAAATTATTTTCCCCCAATAAAAAAAAATTAAAAATTAAAATAAAAATAGGAAAGATTTGAAAAGAACCGACAATTATTGGATTTGAGACATCAATTATTACAAAACGTGAAAACCAACCAAAGCGATGACCTGGATTGACTTGACGTTGTCTTAAAAAACGTGTTATAAATTAAAATAAAAAATAAAAAATTACAATATTTGCTGACCGTGGTTATAAATGATATCAGAGTTAGACATTGAATAGTGTGTCACCGATGACGCTGAGCTCTTAAGGAGAAATGGATTATGGGAAATTTCTTCTCCTTATCTCCTTAACAGACCCGTCTTAAAATCTTGAGAAAAGCGAAAAACCGAGATACATTTCATATCAATATATATAAAAGAAATAAAGTAAAAAAAAAAAAAAAAAGTGTAAAGTGAAAACGGGTTTGTTTACTTCTAGGTGATTTTAGCGAGGATACTCTTGTCTCCTCACAAAGAACATCTTGTGTGTACGTGGTGCTATATTCAATTGCTATTGTTCTACTCGTCATTTAGAGTCTTATTGACCTTTTATTAAACATGAAACGTTGGAAATGTAAATAAAGTTATATATTGGATGAGGAAAATAAAATACTATTTATAAGGGTGTGGGCCCCGAAAGGGATGGATTGTGATGTCTCACATTGACGTTTTAAAGCCTTGACAATATCTGCCGAACACGATATTTGTTTTAAAGACTTGAGGGGAAGCTCGAAAGGAAAAGCCCAAATAGAACAATATCTGCTAGCGGTAAAAACTTGAGGAGAAGCTTAAAAGGGAAAGGTTAAAGAGGACAATGTCTGCTGAACATGCTATTCGTTTTAAAGCCTTGAGGGGGAAAGCTGAAAGAGAAAGCCAAAACAAGACAATATCTATATAACAATATAAGTTATATTAAATTATTTTTTAAAAAATATTATTAAAAATATATATATATATATAAAATAAACGAGATATATTTTCAAAATTTTTATTTATTTTTATTATAATCAAGATCGGGATTCTCTCGGTACAAATAATTTTTAATAGATAATTTTCATTTATTTAATATAATTTTTTTTTTAAAAAAAATGTGAAATATCGTAATAAATTCAATAATATTTAATAAAAATAATATAAATAAGTGAGACAGGACCGAGACTGGGGTCGAAATTGGAGAATGTAATCTTCAACCCAACGTGTTAATGAACATCTTCACATCGACAACAAAAAGTATAACACTTCTAAATTCAATTAAAACTGAAATAAAAAAAAAGATAATCAGTTCAACCGATTCAAATTTATAGCAAATTGAAGAATTAAGTTGGTTTGGATGAAAATCATACCGAACCAAAAATCGTGAACGCTCCTAAATGCAAGCATTCTAAGGCTGAAGATCAGCTAATTTAAGTACAATAAACCGAAATCGAGACGCAATATTTTATACAATATTCTTATTATATATAATATAAATATATTAATCTTCTGTCTCGTGTTGCAAGTCATTATAGCTTTAGACCCTTCAACCTGCAAAAATCGAAAAATAAAGTTACAATTCAATCAAACCCTAATTTTTTAAAAATTTAAGAATATTTAAGATAGGTAACTGTTGACAGTGATGTATTATGACTCGTAAATGTTTTGTATTTAAACTTTATAATATTTTAATTATCAATATGGATAATTATGGTATTTTTTTAAAAGAACCCGGACAATCAAATTTGAAAATAAAGGGTTAAAATGGGATAGACGGTAACCTCTGTTCCACTAACCCAACCAACTTGAAATTTCGAGTTAGCCTAAAAGATTTTTTCAACCCAACTTGTATACACCCAAGTAATAAAAAATGGTTTATGATTGAAACGGATCGAGCTTATTATTTAACCGAAAATGAGTTTTTTCTTATCATGAGTGTTCATCGTTCTCGAACCCATTAATTTTTCCGACCAAAATCAAACGCTCATACTAACCTGAAATTTCAAGTGGGTCTAAAAGATTTTTTCAACCCAACCCGTGATCACAAATGGTTTATGACTGAAATGGTCCGAAAACAAGCTTTTTCTTATTATGAGTGTTCATCCTTCTCTCACACATTAATTTTTCCGGCCAAAATCAAACGCTCAAACCATACTAACATGAAATTTCAAGTGGGTCTAAAAGATTTTTTCAACCCAACCCGTGTACACCTGTGATCACAAATGATTTATGACTGAAACAATTCGAACTTATTATTTAACCGAAAACGAGTCTTATCAGAGTGTTTATCGTTCTCGAGCTCATTAATTATTCCGACCAAAATCAAACGCTCAAACGACGCAAATTAATTCCAAAATCTACATCGAATAGAGAAAGAGATTAACCTTTGTTCTTCATCAAGAAAGTTGGAGTAATATTGTTTAGAAGAATTGGAGTAATTGGGTAAAGGAATTCTTCCAATCTCAATATTATGGACGTCCTCCACCAGCATCTCGTAGTGCCTCTTCACTTCCTCCGCCGTCTTCCCGCCGACGGCTCCGGCCAGCTTCTGCCACCGGTCCGGCGAGTCCTTGTCGTACACCGTCAGAGCATTTTCGAACACCTTGTTTTGCTTTGAACTCCATACGTTGGAGCTTGATGAAGAAGAAGAAGAAGAACTCATTTTTTTTTATTAATATATATTTTTTTATTAATATATATATATATATATATATATCTTTTTAAATTTTATTTTAATTTCGATGCCATGGAAAAAAAGATATTCTTCAAAAATCCATTTTTCATTTTCATTCCCTTTTTCTTTTTCGTCTTCTTCGTCAAGTTGTTTGACTGGTCAAAGTTATCGGTGGACCACATTTGAATCAGAGCAATCTCGATGATAAAACGGTAAAAAAACTTAAATTATAGTGTTTTATTTGGAATAGTTTTGTCGGAAGAGTAAGTAATATGAACATGTTGCACGGAGAATGTTGTTGAGACTATTAAGTGATAAACCCAAATGTAAGAGAATGTCGGGACTATTAAGTGTCAAATCCAGATTTTGAATCGGTGGTAGCTAAATTGTTACGATTTGAGTTCATAATTTAAAGTCGAGAAAAGGGTTTCTTAGTACGATATTTTTCGACGTTATAATATTCATGTTTGATTATTTCAACACGTAAGATCAGTAACAAATGCTTAAAAATGGTGTTGCTCTGCCCAATTTCGATTTGTTTCATGTCGGGATAGGACTTTTATCTCGTGTTTTAAGATAATTTTAAAAATAAATCTAATTAATTGAGCTATACTCACGTTGATCGAAAGTGTATATTTTGGAATCCTTATCCTTCCACGTTCGTTGGGATGAGAATTTCTCCTCTTTATTTTTTTGTTTTTCAAATTCCTTTTCAATCCATTTTTTAAAAAATATTCTTTCTAAAATATACTCTATTTATTTATTTATTATTATTATTATTATATTTTAAAATTTAAAATTACCATTAAAAGTGTTAGTCCGATACTATAATCATTTTTTCCGAACAGTTTGAAGTATGTGAGAATTGTAGACGAAAATTCATAATTTAATTCAGACAAGCGTCTCAGTCACTTTTCTGTTGACTTTCTGTCTAATATTTTAATAAATTTTGAAATATTTACGAAAAATCAAGAATAATATAACATTGATATCAATCACAAGTTGAAGATGTGGGTCAAGTCTCTCTATTGGCTATGCCTTTCAACGGGTTCCTTTTCCTTTTCTTTTATTCATTCCGATCCTTTTTGCTTCAAAATTAACTCAGTCTTTTATCGACAAAGATATCTCTAGCTCGTTGAAATCAATGGTTGAAAAAATTCTAAAATTTCAAATCTCGTTCGACGTTTATATAAATCGTACTATTTATAACGCTCCTTCTCATATTTTTCTCTATATATTATTAGTATTTCAAACGTTATTTTAAAATAATATATATTATGAATATATATAAAGTGGAGTATTTAAACTTTTAACGTGTTGGTCGAAAATTTATATCTAAACTAGTTGAGCTAAACTAGCGTTCGAAAATCATACCGTACTCAAAATAATCATTAGCCAATGAAAATAGACTCACTCAAGTTGGGTTGATTCCATATAAAAAGATATATAGAAAGTGTGTTGATTTTATAAAGTGATTCAAAATATATTCTCGGCAACGTCTCTTAAAAGCTTCGAGATGAAAATAGATGTAATATTTATTTAGGTTAAACTAATAAAAATACTCTTAAAAAATACCTATGAAATTTTAGGAGTAGCATTAATGTTATTTACCTTCATAAAAAAAAGTTCAAAAAAATTCTCACTGTTAATATATGGACGAAAACCGTCGTATCTTATACGACATGAGTATGTCAATATTATGTCTTAACCCATGCATTGAACGTTGGATTATACACCTGCTATCTGGAACATATGCTATAAATAGTTTAGCACGGACATGAGAGAGTCCAATGCTTGAGAGAATCTTGATAGATGAATGTTCAAAATGTCCTGATGAGATGATCGACACATGGGTCAATCCCCAATGGATATGTCTGAGCAAGCCATTATGGCCAATGTGTCCCAAGACATGGGATGAACATCACAATGCATGAGTCGTGTTGTTAGAAACTGAATTGACAGTGAGATGCGACGTTGTGTTGCACACGATTAAACATGCACACGCGGCGACGTGTGGCCGAACAAGCTTGGATTCCATACAAGCGTTAGATTGATAAAGAAAAACCTCGCTTAAAGTCCGACAAAGCCACAAAGCCGGACAGAAAATGTGAATGGAACTTGAGTCCTCCTTAAAGCTTATCATGAGTGTTTCGTGATCACGATGTCGCACAGTTGAAAAAGTACAACCGTGACACTAGTCATACATATTATAAAAAAAATTTATGCAAAGAGGTTACAATGATGCATTCATGTTTCAAAACTGATATGACTCACAAGGTCCCACTTAATAATACAGCATTGACATGTGGGATCAATACGCATGAAATTAATACTACTTATATATGAAATTGATGTCAACCGACAAGATCCATAAAGTACTAAATCATTAAGAGTTGGATAGGTTCTATGCATAAAAGTGATGCACATAGAACTGTGAGTATGAAATTGATATACATCCCGAGCATAGGTAAATCACATGAATCCAAAACCATGGTTTTAGGTCCCATTAGGAATGAACCACATGATTCATGTTTGCATATGTTTGAAAATCTCAACCCTAGCCATACGGCCACTTACTAGCCATTTATAATCCTCGACTGAAGTCAAGATTTATCAATAGTTATCGATAGTTGACGACGGTAGACCTGGTGAGCAGCCTTAAGTGCTTGGAAGCTAAACTTGTATTAAAATTAAAATGGTGAAAGTACAACTATGTAATCAATCAACCATGTTCATAGAGGGATGATACCAAATTCATGGGGCATAAAATCTTCATTTGGCCTGTAGTATTTAGCTGGGGAATAAAGGCTCAAGTTGCTCACTTGGCTGCTGTAAAGACATGCAAATCTCTCTACTTGATGAGCAAACCTAGAGTTTTGATATCCAGTCTTCATAAGCTGTCCCCAAACCCCATGAAACTGCCATATTTTTAGAAGGAATGAAGCCCAAGTTCCTTGCCAAATTTTAACACAATACAATACATGCATCACGTAACACGTCTTGTACCGTACCTGTCGGTGACAGTCCCGTAGGGCGTCTTGATGACTCAGCCGCACTCGTTCTTGTTCACTCTGTAAAACAAAACAAGCAAAGCCTTCATTTACATGAGCTACACCATTTTCAGATGTTGGTTGAGCTGATGATAATGAGCATCACCTCTAACTGATGTAGTTCAGCAGATAGTCTCTCCTTTTCATCAGCCTTGACGTCTTCAAACCTGCGTCGAAAGTCGTTACTTCAATCTCGGTGAAAACGTACAACCTGTTTTGAACTTTTAAGGGCAAGGTGGAGCGGGCGGGGCAAGGACGGAGAAGACTAGAACAGAATGATGAGAGAAGTTCAGAAAAGTACTTGAGAGACCACTTCAAATGATGTATTTTGTCTTCGACGGCATCCCGATCATTTCTTAATAGCTGAAGTTGCTGCACAAGGTTGAAGTAAAAGAATATTACATGGCGAAAAACAAGGGATTCGTACGAGTTGATCTATTGCACGTTTTCTCTAGTTGAAAACCTTGCGTGTCTTCCTCAACTCCCATAAGAGCTCGACCTCCCTTTCGAGCTCTGGAACAACAAGCATAGTCCTCCATCCTGCCAAATCACCAAGCAGTATACAAAGTTAACAGAACTAGACGAACAATGGAGCAACGAACAATGGAGAAACAAACGGGGGACGAAATGTGGCTGGTATACCGAGAGCCTTTTTGCTTCGTAATATATCTCCATAGATGTGATCCCCAACATAGAGAACCTTGAAAGAAACAAAAACAGAAAAGGGGCAAGAGTAATTGAGGGCAAGTACCGAGATTAAGCATAAAAATGCCTACTAAACGAAATAGTCGCCTTGTTACACAATAAATGTGTAACAACCCAAGTCCACCGTCAATAGATACTGTCCTCTTTAGGTTTTCCCTTCCAGGTTTCCCCTCAAGGTTTTAAAATGCATCCACTAGGGAGAGGTTTCCACACCTTTATAAGAAATGCTTCGTTCCCCTCTCAAACCGATGTGGGGTCTCACAATCCATCCCCCCTTGAGGGGCAAGCATCCTTGCTAGCACACCGCCCGGTGACTGGCTCTTATACCATTTGTAACAGCCCAAGTCTACCACTAGCAAATATTATCCTCTTTGAGCTTTCCCTTTTGGGCTTCCTCTCAAGGTTTTCAAACGCGTTTACTATGGAGAGGGTCTAGCTCTAATCCGATCAGTGCCTCGCACTGTCCGGTGATTGACTCTTATACCATTTGTAACAGCCCAAGTCCACTCTTAGTAGATATTGTTCTCTTTAGACTTTCTCTTCCAAGCTTCCCTTCAATGTTTTAAAACGCACCCACTAGGAAGAGGTTTCCACACTCTTATAAGGAATGCTTCGTTCCCTCTCCAACCGATGTGGGATCTTACCAAATGCATTCCCAATAAACCCATCCAAAACAATGCTGAAGTTGAACATTGGAGAATAAGATTGGAAATGCTTATATGCTTGACTTCTTATGCAAACTATCATAGTTTTCCCTTGAACTAGATAAAGGAAGAGTTCACCTGTGAACTTGATTCAATTTGAAGAAGTTTATGCAGATGCATGACATTGCCTCCCTGGAAGAACATGTGCCAAAGGTAAAAACAAAATGTTGGGAATAATGGGTAAAAAGAGGGAAGGATCCAGCTCTGACGGAAGATTCAGTCCCATACCTGAAAAACTTTGCAAGATTTATCTACCTTCGTCGGTGAAGATGCTTCTGAAGTGTTTCCCACCTTCATCGATGAATTAAGGCGTTAAATGAAAACCATAAGCAAAGTTCATTTGACGATACCGAATTTTACAAAGCTAACCTGAGGCAAAGGCGAGCCATTATCAGTATTAAGTAGCATTCCTGACTTCCGGTCGACCCCAAATAGATTAGCACGGTTGTCCTCATGGAAAAAGCCTGGTTTAGCACTGTTTGTACAGATTTTTTCAGAAAACAGAGCCAAGGGATTGAGACAACAGCGC